ATGATCCACCGTTTTTATCACTTCTTATGCATTTCTTGTGGGACGCGGGTGGCGCTGTGGGTAAAAGCCTCAGCGCCTAGGGCTTGCCGATCGAAAGGTCGGCGGTTCGAATCCCCGCGGCGGGGTGCGCTCCTGTCGTTCGGTCCCAGCGCCTGCCAACCTAGCAGTTCGAAAGCACCCCCGGGTGCAAGTAGATAAATAGGGACCGCTTACTAGCGGGAAGGTAAACGGCGTTTCCGTGTGCGGCTCTGGCTCGCCAGAGCAGCGATGTCACGCTGGCCACGTGACCCGGAAGTGTCTCCGGACAGCGCTGGCCCACGGCCTATAGAGTGAGATGGGCGCACAACCCTAGAGTCTGGCAAGACTGGCCCGTACGGGCAGGGGTACCTTTACCTTTACCTATGCATTTCTTAAATTCATATTGCCTTTAATTATCTTAAATAACCATCCTCCCCTTTATTCATTTTTGCAATAGTTCCAATAATTCACCTCACAAATCTTCTTGCAAACCTACAAACGTAGTCTGATCATCACAATTACTTTTCAAATAGTCTGTAAATCCTGTGATTTCTCAAGCTACCTTACAGGGTTGTTGTGATGGAGAGCAGGGGAGAACCATGCCGGCCACCTTCAGCTCTTTGGAAGAAAAGTGGGGTATGAATGTATTAGTAATAATAATTCAAAATATAAATACATAAACAAGCCAGGCTGCATAAATATATGCCAAGCTCTTTCCCTGGAAGGAATCCAATGTTCTCCTGGAGGGAGGCAAGCGGTCTCTCAAGACAAGGCTCAAAACAGAATTTATTTAGCTAAATAGAATTCAACCTTTGGCTGGCGCCAGGAAGCGAGGCGGATTGCTTGCCTCATTTCCAAAGCGCTTTTATATAGTTCAGCCAAACAAATTCCAGGTACAAATCCAAAATGTAACATCTGTCGAAAATGATGTACCGGTGGTACTTGACTCCTACTAAGCACGTCAAAGTGCAAGTAGATAAATAGGTACCACTCTGGCGGGAAGGTAAACAGTGTTTCCATGCGCTGCTCTGGTTCACCAGAAGTGGCTTAGTCATGCTGGCCACATGACCCGGAAAATGTTCGCTGGCTCCCTCGGCCAATAAAGCGAGATGAGCACTGCAACCCCAGAGTCGGCCACGACTGGACCTAATGGTCAGGGGTCCCTTTACCTTTACCTTTACTTTTAAGCTGGCATGTATGTATGTACATTTTTATCCCACCCTTCCTCCAAGGATAGTGGGCAACATACATGGTTCTCCCTATTCCAGTCTTTTTATCTTCACAACTACCCTGTGAGGTGGATTTAGGCTGTAAGAGAGAAATATGGGCTCCCAGTTACAAAGGGAGCTTTATGTCCAAGTTAGGATGGAGAGCCAGCAAGACCAGCACCTGGGAGCAAATCTTACCTTTTCATTTAGGCTTTCAAGCAATTTGTCGAGTTGTGCCTTTTCTTCATTGACTTTTTCCAGTTCTGCATCTCTTCTTTCACATTCATCTTGGAGTTTCAGGAGATGCTTGGAAAAGAGGAAGAGAATAGTTTCATCTATTGTATTTTTAGCCACCCAATCCCAAACACTGAGTAAAGTACAAACAAAACCGAAACTAATATTAGACAAACTAGGATTTATTTATTTATTTATTCATTAAATAAATTGGCACCTGGTTGGCCACTGTGAGAACAGGATGCTGGAAAACATGGGCCCCTGGTCTGACCCAGCAGGGCTGTTCTTAGATAAAGTCCTCTGCTCTATCTACTTTTCCACTGTCTTATCCCCTATTATATTCCAACCTCTCTCCCAGCGGAGCTCCTTTTCTGGCAGAACCTAACTTCAAGGCATTGAGAAACATTTATTATATAACATCCAGCCCATTTTACATATAGGGCCAATTGCTCATGGTACAACTTTTGCATACAAAAGTTAAAGCTACCTGAGCTGTTCATTTTTAGAGGACCTCTCTTTTTTATTATCCAAAACACTTGCTGTTGTTCTTTCTGGGGATGAGTGAGCCTTTGTAGTCTCTCTGACTATCATAGCATTTAGGAACATAAAAGATATTCCTGAAACAGCTGCTTGGAACAAACAATTTAGGTGCCCTTTCATGGTGCCAACTCTGTGAAGAAGACCCACATTAGTCCATGTGATTAGATCCATTAATTGTTCTACCAGTCACATGGAACCACACTGATTAACTCTTTCCCCAGCCACACAGAAGCAGTTTTACAACTACAACAGAAATCACATTTCAGAAATGCATCCAGGGAAGGCTCTGGCACTGTAAAGCCTAAACAGTACTGCTCTGTAGTCAAGTCTACTTCTTAGTGAGGGATTATTCCCATGTTGCAACCTTGGAAAAAGATTTGGACATGTGGACATGTTGCAAGCTTCACAAGGGCATTTATTTTCACTCCAATAAAAGGCATCAGTAGAACAGCCTTCCCCAGAGGTTTAGGACTACAACCCTGTCAGCACTGTCCATCATAGACAGTGGTCAGGAATTATGGGATTTGGAATCCAAAACGTCTGGAAGGCACCCTGTTGGGGAAGAGAGATCTTCTATGGCACAAGGCAATTACTACAAATATTCATTGGAGGTGGTTTCCTTTTGCAGGAAAGAGTCCTACCTGCTGCATGCCTTGCAAAGCCTGCTGGAGAATCTTTAATTTCTGGTCTTTGCTTATGTCTTCATCTCTGTCCACTTTGCCCTGCTCTTGCTTTAAGAGATCCACCTCATTCCTGTACGCATCAAGCTGACATTTTAAGCTGTCATTTTCTTCCTTCAGAGCTTCTGCTTGAGATATTAAAGCTGGGGGTTGGGAAGAGAAAAAATGGGAAGGTGGATACACCTATTGTCCTTGGAATTAGTTTGACCTTCATTGTTCCCCATTTGGTTTTTTATTTTCTAGAACATCTTCTAAATATATGCTTAATTCCTTAATAAATGTATTGGAGATGTTTGTGTTATACATGTGTTATACATCAGCGTCTGGTCTCACCTGTTTTGGAAATTTGCTCTGTAGGCACCCATGACACAGCTGTAGTATGGACTGCGTCAGATTGATCTGTAGTTTGCATGATACCATGCATGCTTTGCAGCCGGGGACAGTAAGCAAATGCAATGGCTATACATCACAGGAACAAATCATTTTCTACAGGTCCCATCCCCTGTATTAAGTGGTGCCTCAGACAGCTCTTTGTGGAACTACAATTTCAGATTTTATGGGAGAATCCAGATCTGCAGGAACTCAAACAATGTATATAGGTAGGTCATCTAGAAATATGAGATCCCCAGTGCAGGAAATAACTGCGACTAGCTCTGCCATTTCCAATCAGCTACTGTTTCGTAACTGACTCTAGCTTGAAAAACCTGGGGCCCTGATTAAAAATAATACCGTAGATTCTGGCGTATAAAATGACTTTTTAACCCCGGAAAATCCTCTAAAAAGTCGGGGGTCGTCGCTTCTGGGAAATGATATATAATGAGATAAAGAAAATATTGAAATATACATTTGTTAAAAAACCAGAAGCATTCCTATTAGGAATTTTAGGTGGTAAGATAAAAAGGAAGGATCAGAAAGTATTTTTGTATGCAGTAACAGCAGCTAGAACTCTTGTGGCCCAGAAATGGAAACAAGAAGAAATGCCCACGATTGAAGAATGGAGAACGAAATTAATGGATTATGCAGAACTGGACAGATTAACAGGGAGGATTCGCAACCGACGGGACCAAAGATTCACTGAGGACTGGAATAAATTTACAGAATATATTAAAAATATTTGTGATAATGATATAACGTTTCCAAGAAGCTCTGTAAGAAGGTTTGGTAGAAATATTGTTTAAATAACATGGTAAGATAAGATATACATAGTGCAATATAAATGAAGAAATGTGAAGATATGTAATAACTACGGAAAATTATCAGACATGTTGATGGAAGTCTAAAAGAAAAAAGACGTGTGATGAATTCCTAATGTTTGTGTTATAAATTTGTTTTTATTGGAAAATTAATAAAAATTATATACAAAAAAAAAAAAGTTGGGGGTCGTCTTATACGCCGGGTATGGGTTCGCTGGGCAGCGGCAGTGGGTGGTGGGCTCCACACCGGGAGGAAGCTGCCCGATGAAGCTGCCCAGCGATGCTAAGCCGGCTTCACTGGGCAGCTTCCTCTCGGCACGGAGCAGAGCCCACCGCCCACTGCTGCTGTGGCGGCAGCTTCGGCAGCTTCGCTGGGCAGCAGCAGTGGGCAGCGGGCCTGCGCCAGCAGGAAGCTGCCCAGCAAAGCCGGCTTAGCATCGCTGAGCAGCTTTGCCGGGCAGTTTCCTCCCAGCGCAGAGCCCACCGCCCACTGCCGCTGCCCAGTGAAGCTGTTGTGTATAAGACTGGGCGTATAAGTCAACCCCCCAAATTGGCAGCTGCCAATTTGGGGGGGTCGTCTTATACGCCCAGTCGCCTAATACGCCGGAATCTATGGTAGGTAAGTAGAACACACATGCTTGAATACTGCTCACCCCTGAACTTGAATACTCTGGCTTCCTTTCAACACAGTGCCAGTCATACCTGACTCTTCCATCTCCTTGGCATCTGATGGCTCTGTCTCGTCGTCAGACATTTCCATTTCCTCTTCTCGTCGGATGCCCATCAGCTCATCATTCTGAATGTTGCGGATTTCCTATGATTTAAAGAGCATTTTTTATATATATAAAAGAAAAAAGAAATGCTACTGATTGCTCTGCATGCTGGTTCACAGTTAAGAACCTGCAGGAAGTACCAGGAGAAAAGGAATAGGGGGAGAAGTGTAGCGACTTTGTGTTTGGTAATGGCAAGCTTTGGACACTTAAACCTAGTTCCTAATTTGTGCATTTGATAAAATTCATTCACAGAATTTTGGGGTGGGGAAGATTAGCATGGAATTCAAAGCAACTCCCCCTTGGTGATAAATATTGTAACTTGCACAGCACATTCAGAGAACAAAATGCTTTATGTTTGTCCATTTTTTAATCCTCAAGTAATTGAGGATTGAGTAATTTTAATTACTCAAACAAGCCTCATGATCATTTCATTCTTTATACACATGGCTGGGGAATGATGTAAACCAAAGCCACCCCAGTTCAACTCTTGAGCTTCTGGGACACCAGATCTTAGCAACAGTCAGGTTCTAAGGTAGAAGTGCAGTCTGTCTGAAAAATGGTTATTTTGAAGGAAACGGTGGGGGGAAACCTAAGAGGCTTATCCTTTGGCTATTGCCTGGATATTAGGGAGAGAAATCCCAGCCCCTTCCACAGATGCAAACTATGGAGGGTCCTATTGTAGCAAGGGGGTAAGTGAATAGCAGTTCCAGAATACACAGAAAAGCCACATGGCAGCTAAACAGAAATGAACAACCAGACAAAAGTGTGATGGTTAAAGAGATGGAATGATTTGCTCCTAGGGCATTGGGGACTTTTATGCTAGATTTATGTTACCCAGCCTAGTATTGCTTACACTGACTAACATCAGCTGTTCAGAATCTCAGGCAGAGAAGAGGCTTTCCCAGGGTTTTTTTCCCCCTAGAAAAAGAGGTGCCGGAACTTGTTGAGCTTTTTTAGAGGCAGCAAAGTTGTGCCAGGGAACAGCAACACTACAGAGGTGCCAGAATGCCCTGGTCTTTCCCATTACTGCTACACAATCCTTCCAACTGGAGATACCAGGGATTGAACCTGCAACCTTCCACATTAAAAGCACCAACAAAAATAAGGAATGAATGAATGAATGACGACCTACTTATGTGACGCTTACACAAAAAAACTTGCACAAATACCATGCAGTAGAACGAAATATCATTATACCCCCCTTCCTTCTCCCCTCACCCCTTTCTTTTTCCCGACACTGAATGTAACTGAACTGTGAAAAGGACCCTATGAATTGAAAACAGAGACACTATATGTACTTTTGTTACACAATACAAATCTTTAATAAAATAAAAAGTAGGCAGCATTCTTCCCAAGTTCCCAAAACTCCATATTATGGCTTCCATCTCACACTATCTCCATTTTTTTGGGGGGGGGGATGAAGACAGATCAATACTGGAAAGTGCTGAAAGGTTTGCTAATGTCAGATAATCAAAGCCATCAAGACATGGGTCCTTAAGAACTCTCTATTAATATGTCCCTACCCAACCACTAAAAGTAGGTGGACTATGCATGACAGGGTGTTTTATCTTACAGTACCAAAGGTGTGGAATTGCTCTCCAGACGGAGGCCAATCTGGCCCCATCAAAGCCAGCTTCCTGCCACTCTGCAAAAACATGGCCCTTTCACAGAGCACTTGGCAGACAGACAGCAAGATCATAAGCAATACTACTGTTTGGGCCAATTCTCTTTGTTGCATTTTTAGTTGCTTTTTATGCTTTGCTGGGATTCGTTAAGACAGAGGGGCAGGATAGCAGCGTTTTTATAAATAAACATAAATGAAAATGGTTTTGGAATAAGCGTGCCAATTACTCCGCAGGCACAGCAGGACAGGATCTAAATTTCATTTATTTATATCCTGTGTTATTCTACTCCAGTTACGAAACTACCAATAAAACCGTGCAGAATACTTGCCATATGTTCCAGATCACAATTACTTACCTGAAGCTGCACCTGAAGCTGCCACAAACTGCAAGGAACCTCATTGTATATTTGTATTTTAAACCAGTTTAACACATGCCCAGTTGCTTCTCACCCCAACTATTTATCACTGCGATCCAGAATAATCATGAGCAAACTATGAAATCACACAGAGTAGCACAGGCACCACTCTTGAACAAGGCCAGATATAAAGGCACCTTTGCTTAAAAATTGCCCTTCTATATCAATGTTAGTTATGGCGTGTTTGAGTACTAAGCTATACCACGGTTTCATGTGAATCCTTACATCATTTGCAAGTATGTCTTACTGTAAGGCAGTATGGCAAAGTTATGGCCCTCCAGTTGTTGTTGGATGAAAACTCCTATCATTTCTGACCATTGGCCATGCTGGCTGGTGCTGATAGGAGTTTGAGTCCAACACCAGAAATTTCTGGGGAAGAACTTGGACTGTCTTCATTTCCTATGTTCTCAGTTCTGCATGCCTGACAACTGAATGCATGACTGAACATTTTTAAAGCTTCTTTGAATCTTCTTAAACAAGCCTGTCAATCCCCAGCCCTTTCTAAATCATATAGAATACTCAGCCTCTTCATAATTCTATACTGCACCACCACTTAGGAGCTTCCTTCAAATTATGCCTGGCACATTCACCGTTTCTGCTGTGGGCTTCAGTAGCAGACAGACTGCATGGTTGCCCAGAATTTAGAGTCAGAATAGGTCAAAGAGTCAAATCCTTGCAATAGCAGAACTTCTTTAAATCATACCTGACAGTAGTTCATCTGGTCTCATCAAATGTGTGGAGAGAGAAAGCATCCAGGGAAGGAGAATCCATGCTCCTTTGTTCAACTATTACAGCTATGAATACTTATTCACATGAACCCAAGCTCATCTGCAACTTGAACCCAGCGCAGTTGCTCTTGTCTCCATAGTGTCTGTCCCACGTGGGACATTTGTAGTCTTGTTACAGCCTCATGGCTAATGCTAGCATTGCCACATCTTTCCAGCCATTTAACCTAAGAAGAGCCCTGGCAGATCAGATTGAAGGCCCACCAGCAAGACACCCTCCCTCCATGTTCCCAAACAGCTAACATTCAGATGATTAGAGACTACAGATGATGACCTCCTTGCCATGGTTCTAGCTACCTAAGTTTTTCTATGACTATTGTGTGTGTCTTAAAGCACCTGAATCCACCCTAGTATAATAGTAATTATTATTATTATACCTCACCCATCTGACTGGGTCACCCTAGTCTCTCTGGGTGGCTTTCAACATATATAAAACATAATAAAATGTTAAACATTAAAAAGCTTCCCTATACAGGGCTGCCCTCAGAACTGAAGAGAGCAGAGCTACTATCTTTAGGTAGTGGGCATAATGCTGCCCAAAAATGCAAGTACAACTATTTCTAAAGAGCTTCATTCATATCCCACTATAATTCTGAGCTTCTTCTTAATAGTGTTCACCAATGGCTGTTCTCTTCCTCTCCTGAACTCCCTCGTGCTGTGTTTTGCTATGAACTTAGCTCCATGTGCGTTGCTACTTACCTTCCAGAGCAAGGCTGGAAAAATCCATCCTTTTATAAGCAAGCCTATAGGCCAAAAGGAGCTAACGAAAAGTAAAAGGAAGTACCAACCTCAGCTTGCTTGCACCATACGCTGATGTTCTTACGTTGCGCTTTCGTGAAATGGTCCCAAGCCTTTTGTTTGGATGCAGAATGGTACACGGCCACTATCTGCTCGACTGCAGTTTCAAAATCAGCAGGCAAAACCAGGCCACAATATCATCCAGAGAGGGCAAGAGAAAGGAGTAAGAGAGCGGGATCAGGCAGGTAGTCCAGTGAATCTTTTTCTTATGACGCTTTGCTGGGTGGAACCATAGCTGAGAAAGATGGTGCTCAGGAAGAAGCCAGAGCCACAGAACTTGGAGATCAAAGCAGCACAACAGGCAAGATATGTTTGTATGTCCAATCAGGCAGAAGCCAAGTTAACAGAGTAAGCTGTCTTGATGAGGAGGGTGACGCTAAACACTCAAAAAAGGAGTTTCTTAAAAAAACTCAAGAGGAAGAAAAGCACTCATGTAAAAAGAAATAGATGCTTGGCCAGAGAGAAAGAGACAGAGAGACAATTTCCCCCCCACTTCACAAACATTGGGTCATAAATAGGGCTGGGTGTATTCCATAAATCTGTAACTGCAAATAAGTACTGGACCCAAAATCCTGCACACTGAATCTTACCTTAATTCCGTTTCTAGTCCTTACTACCACAGTGATAGACTTGGAAAAATCTCAGAAGCCAAAAAGAAATGGAGTGTGACTTCCAGTGGAGCTTTAATATTCCCAATGGGTTGGCTTGCTTGTAACACTAAGGCAAACAATGGTTTAGCATGGGCTCCCAGAGAGGAAATCACAGCCACTTTACTTCTCCTCTTGTTCTGCTGCTGCTGCACTGCTCTGAGCTAAGCCATCATTTTAGCTCAGCATGTGATGAACCCAGGATTGTAGCTTGTCTCACTCCAGACAAACAACAGCAAGGTCTGTTCTTGGGTTTACAACTTATGGTTTGTCTTGAATAATAATAATAATAATAATAACAACAACAACAACAACAACAACAACAACAACAACAACAATAATAATAATAATTTATACCCCGCCCATCTGGCTGGGTTTCCCCAGCCACTCTGGGCGGCTTCCAACAGAATATTAAAGTACAATAATCTATTAAACATTAAAAGCTTCCCTAAACAGGGCTACCTTCAGATGTCTTCGAAAAGTCAGATGGTTGTTTATTTCCTTGACATCTGATGGGAGGTTGTTCCACAGGGCGGGTGCCACTACCCAGAAGGCCCTCTGCCTGGTTCCCTGTAACTTGGCTTCTCGCAGTGAGGGAACCGCCAGAAGGCCCTCAGCGCTGGACCTCAGTGTCTGGGCAGACAGATCCTTTCCCAAAACATATTCCTGCAAATTTCTATCCAAAAGGTTTAGACAAACCATGAACCTTAGTTCAGTCAACACACTGAGCCAAACCATGGCTTAGCTCAGAGCAGTAAAGCAGCAGAACGAGGGAAGGTATGTAGCAGCAGCGATATCCTCTCTGAAAAGCCTCACACTCATGCATTTGTGCTGAGCATTTGGCTTAGCATTACATGAGAACCAGTTTTATGACTAGATTATTTTTTAAAATCGCCACATGTACATATTTGCACAGCTTATATGAGAAGTTACAATGCATAGTTTTCCTCGGGATTGGAATGTTATTTTAAACACCAGAGTAGGGCCCTGCTGGTGATGTGGGAAGTATGATATGCTGCCCCACATTCAGTAAAGTAATACAGGTCCTTTCCCAAAACATATTGCTGCAAATTTCAAGCCAAAAGGTTTAGTTGTGAAAGATTATCTTCCCTGAAAGGAGCTAAAAATCCATCCCATAGCCACAGGTGATTGGCTTGAACACTGGAGAGGCTACTGAATTGCTCTTACCCTGGCTAAAGATTGACCAACACCAACATCATGGCAGGATTCAGGTCTGAGGTCCCCCCCCCCCCAATTGCTACTTACTGTAACTCCTTCTGGAATCCGGGACCAATATATTTTTTTAAGGTTAACAGAATAAAACAATTCAAAACAAACACTAAGCAAACTGCAGAATCCTCTTGGTACACTCAGGAGACGAATGGTCACACTGTGCTGTGATACATAACAAGGTGACCTTAAAATCAGACTATCAAGGCCAGGAGGCTGCTAAAGTGTCAGCTTCCCCAGCTGCGAGGTGGTTGCTGCCTGCCAGGGACTTGGTTGGCTAGTTACTCAGTTCCAGAGAATGAAGGAGAGAAAGCTCTGCAGGACATTCAATAGGAACAGAATCTCCTGGTTGGAAATGGATCCTGGTTAATAACAGGGCAATGAAAACTGCAGAACACTCCCAGGGCTCAGAAGAGCATCAAATGTTTTGTACATAACGTTTAAAGTGACGCAAAAAAAGGAAAAATGAAGCAATATTACATTACCTTGAAGGCTTAAATCTCCCATTTAGTAAGATGATCTGTAGATCCTCAAAGGAACAGGAAGATAAGGGATTTGGCTATACACCTACCTTTGTTGCCTAAGCCTCTCAGCAATCACCAAAGGTACAAGGCTGTGGTTAACACAGGAGCAGCCTGCAGGTAGGAACATCACTAAGGCAGAAAATACCTGCACATCCCGAGTGTGAACAGAAATTAAGAAGACACTTCAAAGAAGATTCAGAAGCTTCAGCTGGTGCAGAAATAGGTGGTCTGTCTCCTGATGCAGTATGTATGCTGCAAGCACATGACATCTACTAAGGCTCACTACCATGTTCTTTCCTGTGTCCCATCCCATTAATAATCACCCAAGAATGCTCTCCAGACTGTACCATTAGTTTACCAAAGAAAATGTGCACAGTAGGAGTTTCGTGGGCTTTTTTGTTTGTTGTGTCTGGGGCCCATTTTTTCTTCAGAAACCTATCAGAATAAGATTTTGATAGTTTTCCAGAAGCTTTGTAAGATTTTATTGTTTCCATTGAGCATTTATGGCCTGGTAACCTTTCATTCATTTAAAATTAATTTTAATATCCAGCATTTTATCTGTTAAATGGTTTGTTATCTTTTTCCTTTTTTAAAATGTTTGCTGGTTTTCTTTGACATTTGTACGAATGCAGCATGGTGGTTTAGAAATTTGTAAGAAATAAACCTAAATATGTTTCCTAATAAAGGGAATGTATGTTCCGGATCTGTGTCTCTCTCTCTTGTTCAACCTTCAACTGGAAAAAAAGAAAACAAAAAATGGTACATTTCCATCAAGTGAGACTTTGAAATCCTGGTTGCAAGCCCCAAACACTTACACTGAGCAAGAATTCCTGCGAGTGCAAGCTTGAACTTCTCCTTTGCTTCTTCCATTTCCTTTTCATGGACTGCTTTCTCATTTGTAAGCCGGCGGATGTGGCTGTTGACCGACTGGATCATTGAGTAGAAGTTGTTTGCAGTCCGTCTGTTCACTTCCCCACGCTCTATCCAGGCCAGCAGTGTCTGCACCGCTTCCAAAAACTTGGAATCATCTGACCCAAGAGAGAAACACTGCTCAGGTACAAAGCACTGGTGAATTTTGCAAGTAATACTATTTAAATCATCGCTCCCTGTGTGAGAGTTTAAAACACAAAAACATAGTAAGATGTTTGATAGGCTAAAATGATATTGTTTTGTTACTAGTGCTCTGCCATAGCTTCCTGTGGCTGCTATGGGGGTTCTTTTGTTATGTTTTTATGGTATAATGTATTTACATTTATGTATTAAACATTAGTTAAGTCACTTGGGGGATGCGGGTGGCGCTGTGGGTTAAACCACAGAGCCTAGGACTTGCCGATCAGAAGCTCGGCAGTTCAAATCCCCACGAGGGGGTGAGCTCCCGTTGCTCAATCCCAGCTTCTGCCAACCTAGCAGTTCGAAAGCACATCAAAATGCAAGTAGATAAATAGGTACCACTCTGGCAGGAAGGTAAACGGCATTTTCGTGCACTGCTCTGGTTCGCCAGAAGCGGTTTAGTCATGCTGGCCACATGACCTGGAAGCTGTACGCCGGCTCCCTCGGCCAATAAAGCGAGATGAGAGCCGCAACCCCAGAGTCGGTCACAACTGGACATAATGGTCAGGGGTCCCATTACCTTTTAAGTCACTTGGAGATGTTCAGGTAACAAGCAACAGTCTAATTAATACTACTGTTTTGCATAGTTTGCATGAAATGATCCACCCAAGCAAGGCAAAACTCTGAAAGGCTGTGGTGGATGAGATTAACTCCACAGACAGTTGCAATGTACTAATCTGTTGTATGTCTATATGGGATGGATCACATCTCAGTGGAAGAGCATCTGCTTTGCATGCAAAATGTCTTGGGTAGAGTTCCCAGTTAAAAGGATCAGGTAGGAAGTGATGAGAAAGATCCTTCTTCTTCCAAGACCCTGGAGAACCACAGCCAGTCAGAGTATATAGTACTGGGTAAGAAACAGATAACTCATCTGATAGGGTACAGGACAGCTTCCTATGTTCCTAAGCACCTGCCACAATCCTCATGCAACAGCCTGCCAGTTTGGGGCATTATACTACAGCCCTATGTACCTTTTAGCTTCTCAGCAACAATACTGCACTCATAATACGAATAGTGGACAACAGGAGGTGGGGAGGGAGGGTGGAACTGTTTTTCTGCCATCCTTCTGCGATGGCGCTCTTCCCGGGCAAGCATCCGCTGCTTGCATTCCCACTCGTAGAAATCATCCCGGGCTTGAGCAAAATCCACGTGTAGGCGCCCTGTATCCTTTTTATCAGTGCTGGAGCCCAGCCTGATGCGATAACCTGGCAATGATAGTTACAGAAACAACCATTAGCAGTTTCCCTGTGATAGGGAAGTTTTTAATGTTTGATCTTTTATTGTGTTTTTAATATCCTGTTGGAAGCCACCCAGAGTGGCTGGGGGGACCCGGCCAGATGGATAGGGTATAAGTAATAAATAATAATAATAATAATAATAATAATAATAATAATAATATGTTCCTCTGTTTCCCCCATCTGCAACATGGGGGTCTGCCTGCTTTGTCTCCAGAGACTGCCAGAGACACCTATCAGAGGAAATGTGAACAGCTACAACTCAGGCTTAATAACATCCATGTTCAAACTGGATAAAGAAATGAACATCAACTGCTACGCATGCTCATCCACACATATCAATATGTTTGATTTATCAATGATTGTATCACATCTATGATGCAGACCAGCTACACAGCTCAAAAACACTTCAGGTAAATTCTGTTTGAAATTGTAACTGCAATATTTGTTAAGTTGTAAACATCACAAAGTAAGCTACATGGGAAGGGTGAGCATCAGGTGAAAGGTTGCTGCGGTTTCTGTTAAGTTGCTGAAGCCTTGCCAGATCCCTCTTACAACTCTGGAGGGTGGTTCTCATAGGGTACAGTGACACTGACTGGACAACACATGTTATTCCAGAAGGGAGGCTAACCTCCAAAGTTCTCCAAAGAAGCCATGTTGGTTCTGGATAGTTTGAAAAGGTGGTGGTTTTCAATAATCAGCAGGCATTATAAAGATTTCAGGCCCTGAAGGAGCGCCTCCACCCTTGTCATTAAGCCCAGCCACTGAGATCTAGCTCAGAGCCCAAGCAGAGGACCTTTTTTGGTAGTGGTGCCCACCCTGTGGAATGCCCTCCCATCAGATGTCAAGGAGATACGTAACTACTATATACAAGGTTTACCTGAAGGCAGCTATGTATAGGGAAGTGTTTAATGTTTTATTATGTTTTGTATATGCTGGAAGCTGCCAAAAGTGGCTGGGGAAACCCGGTCAGATGGACAGGGTACAAACAACAACAATAACAACAACTATCATCATCATCATTAATCATAGAGACACACTGCTTGTTGCACTAGAATTATTCCCTCTCTTCGTGAGCTGTGCAGCTCACAAGAGTTCCTTACTGTAGTTTCATGCTGACATTTTTTAGCTTGTTGGAATTTTGGAATTGGGCATTTTTCTGTTTTTATTAGACAAATTTATGAAAGCTATTCACAATGGTCTGTGTCACCATTGCATGTTATAGTGAAGTTAAAAGACTCCTTAGCCAAATAACTGAAACTGGTGAGAGATGACTGTACAACTGGGAAAATGGAAGGGGACACAACAGACATGACTGCATGTGGCTTTTGCAACTCTACAGAAGAAATTATCTCTGAGTCAAAAGCAAAGACAAACAATATCTACCAGACAAATAAATAGCCTTGTCCACCATGTATTCCTCAGAAAAACGGATGTGGCAGAAGTGCTTTTTGCTCTTCCGAAGCGCTAAGATCTCTCCACACTGCTCAAAAATCTCCACAACAGTCTCTTCTGTTGCATTTTCTGGCAGTCCTCCAACAAATACCGTCTTGCATCCAGGAGGTCTTTCCCTTGTGGTGGGAGGAGGCAGATCTAAGGACAACAAGAAATATGATACATAACCATGCCACAAGCAAAAGACATCTGGTATTCAACTACAATCCGACAACAACTGCTGCGCATTTGTGTTTAAGTGTCAGAAGGCTTGGCCAGCTCTGGCCTCTTCCACACTTGCACTTGTCCTGTGCCTAGAAAGCACAGATCTACTTGCCCCATGTTTCCACTTGCCCCATGTGGTTTTGCCTTTGCCCTGCAGGTTTTCCCAGGGGAATGTGGCAGGGCAAATGGAAGTGTGGATAAGCCCTCAACCTTGCCAGGCAAAGTTATATCCTGCCAGCCTTAAAATATCAAAAATCAATATCTTTCCAGCACAGCATGCTTCCCAAAGAAGAAAAGATCCTCTTTTTTTGGCGACAGCTCACTGCTAGATTCACACTAAAAATAAACTGCAAGAACAGTGCACAGCCAAATACAAACACCCTTATACCATTGGACACAATACCATCAGCTTTATAAAAAGGGAAAAATGAGGGTCTATAAAATTTACTTGGGTTCTCTTTTTATTACTGCTTGCTGTTTAGCAGCCTGCAGCAACAGCTATGCAAAACTAGGCTTCCATTTGGAAAATGTCCTATGCATTTTCATGTTCCAATCTATAGCCCAGCATACTGCACAATCAGCACTGCCATGATTTTCGCCCTTCATGATGTCAAAAAGCTTATTTTTTAAAAAAAAGATTTGCAACCTCATCTCTATAGGTTCCTCTTCCAATTACTCCCTGACCTTGAAAATATTCTAAAACAGAGAGGGTTCAACTAGAAAGTGTTAGAGATGTACTGCAAAGCAGACTAGAGCTGAGTTCTGGGAAGTTAAGCACTTACCTCCCTTCCCTTCATCAAGTGGCATTCTAGACCAGGGATGGGTGTCACGCAACTCTCCAGAAGTCACTGGACACCAGCCCTTGTGATCCTTGACTGCCACTGGTTCTCCCTGCCACTGATTCCCCCATAACCACCTCTAGACTGCTGTTTTAACCAGTAATGTTTGCTTCTCCATTTTGCCTCTCATTAAGTGGACAGAATCAGCAAGCAGCACAGCAGGGTAGTACAGAGATGGCCTCACTCCTTGAGGACGTGAAGATGCTTGAGGCTCCCAGCACTCCCGCTGAGGTGGTCCTGGCCACCTCTGCAATCTAAAAGCTATTCTGGCTTGGCCAAACTATAAAAAATATCCTGTTGGGAAAAGAGCTTCTTCTTCCCTCCATGATCTGAACATCCACCAGACAATTCATCAGATGTCCCTCTTTACTTTCAATCGTTACCAATTGATCCCAGTGCAACTGCAAGAATTATGGCAAGGATTACTTGAGTTAGGCGGGAAGAGTGTGCAACTTTTGCAATGTATGATCTCCTTAATCACTGGTGGTGGCACTATTTCCAAGCCAGGCATCAAGGGACTGATTGGTGGGATCCCAGTCATCATTCCAAGCACAGGGTCGAAGTCTGAAATAGAGAGGACATCAAGCTAGAGTGTTTCAGCTGCAACTGCACAATAATTCTAACTAGGAAAGCAGATTTTTCCCCATCAATAAAATCAAAACTTAAAGGACCTGAGAGATACATAAAGCATACATAATAAAGTAGAGCCATTTGGCAGCCCACATAATCCCACAAAAGCCAGTTCTCATGCATAGGAGGACAAAGATGTGGACAGGCAGGATTGAAGAAAAAGAGAGCTCACAGTACATCCCAACACTGGGAGATTAGCCTCACTTCCTCCCAGTTTTGTAACTGAAATGACAGTCATGCATACCACCACACTGAAAGCTGGCTCAGGCATCTGTTTTGCCGCTTTCACTCCAGGCTGCCTTTCCTTCTTTTAATTTTAGAAGTGCTGCATGAGTATTTATGCATAAATCCATTCATTCAGTCAATTACTTTTTTTTTTTAGGAAACTTTTTAAAAAGTGCTTAACAGCTCTATAAATGGAGTGGAGGTGTTTTTTGGTAACATACAAGAGGGTCGGCCAATCAGGCCAATCACAGCCAGATTCAGCTTTAAAGTTGCAGAGCTGTTTTTTGTTTATTATCGCAGCCACTCCTAAGGGCCAAGTAGACAGAGCACTCAGCTGATTGTCTAGTCTTGCAAAGACCCTTTCAAAGTACTATTTTGCAGGGTGCTTTGCAGGTGCTGCCGATCACCTGATTAGTGAAACCTGCAAACACCCTTTCAGATAATCCAAGTTTTGACCTACCCCATAACTGACATCATATATGACTTCCAATAGATGTAGGACAGATGGGCATGGCTTCCCTGAAAATGGCCTTGTTGGCTAAATAAAGAGGCCTAACAGGCCTAATCAGACACAGGCCAGAGGTTCCCCACCCATTTTAGGCTATGGATCTTGTGTGTTCTCTGAACATTTACTCCCCTTAACACTCCACTGGAAAAATTAAGCATTGCGTGCTTGCAGCGGTGATACCAAACCAAGAGCACAACCTACCAGGCAAAAGAGGATCTCCTGTTATTCCCATTGGTGCCATCCCCAAGTTATTCATTGCAGTGGTCCAGGCTGTTGGGTCTGACATGCCCAAATCCATTGGAGGAGACTCTAGATTCAGATTTGGGATGCTGTCTGCAGAAAGGATTATGATTGACAAACATATTAACAAATGTACTTTAAAAAAAAAATTATCACTATTACTTACCCCGATTTTTTATTTTTTTTACTAACGATAAAACTGGAAGAGAAAGTGATAGAATTCAAATAAATCTCCACTGTAAAATGACACCCTGCATATCTTGGCAAATGATGGGATAAATTCTAAGGGGAGAGTAGGATGCAACAAATACTCGCTTTAGGCACAAACTATTTGATGCAAACCACATTTGCCTGTGCTCCCCTCCTGAGTATCATCCCATCCCCCATGTACCAACGTCTTCTTCTTTCCAAAATAAGAGCTCTAGTTGTAAAGGCACAAGTCTTAAAATAGATCTGAGCCAGCACTTATCATGGGCCCCAGAATGATCCTCTGATGGCAGAGTATAACCCCTAAAAAAAACACACTAGGCCATAATCCAGGGCAAAGTCCATGTGTTATCTGCATGTCCAAAGGCCAAATCCCACTGTCAAACTCCTGAATACATTTTCAAATTCTCTCCCATCTGCCCCAAGCTTAAAAAACAGTGGAGAGATTTGGCATAAGAGCAGCTTCAAGTGGCAAAGTCACACACAAAACTTAGTACATCGCAATGCCATCTTAGATCTCATGCCGAGTACTAGTAGTTTAAATTTGTTTATTCTTTTACTTATATCCCACCCTTCATCACGAAGCCCTTCATCTCAAGGCAAGTAACAGCAGCAGGGTTGCCATATTTCAAAAACTGAAAATCCAGACACAAAAGTTGTTGTTTTGGCCAAAGTTGTTGATGCCCGTACATTTCAGCAATTTCCACCTGGATACTGTTTCCAATGGCTGAATCCTGGGAATGTCTGGAAAATTACGGTCTTATGGCAACCCTAAACAACAGGGCAATACACAAGTAATGGAATTACCAGGAGGACCTCCCCAGCCCATCTTGAGGTTTGAGCAGGACAATAGGAAAAACACTGACTGGCGAAAACTGCTTCTAGGGAATCTCACCTCGCATACTAATGACAGTTCATCTATCCTTCTCTGTCTGAAATAATTATTTGGCTCCTCCCCTTGTACCTGTGATTACTCTATTCCAGCTCAACAATGAAGGGAAAGCCCTGGGGATGGAATGCTTAGAATGAGCCAACAGGCCCTTGCACATCTCATTAGATCAGGTTCCACTGCAACAGGTGTACTTTACATCCTCTGACCCATTCCTTTAATTGCCTGAAGAACTTGTAATTCAATTAACTCCTATCTTTCCTGGCCACTGGCCATACTGTCTGTGGCAGATGAGAGTTAGAATCCAACAATATCTGGAGGGCCACTGGTTCCCCATCCAGTGCTCTGTTGGGACGGACGCTCATCAAGAGTAAGGAAGTTTTCTGCTTCATGCAGTATCATTTTATCACAATCATCAACCCTGATGTGTAGTCTGGGGCTCTAATTTCCTTTTGGATGGCTTTGCTATTTTCAGCAGGTTCCACATCACAAATCCCCAAAATAAGAACAATCCCACATTTTTGCATGCAACTGATGCCGGTTAAATGGTATTGCTATGAGTTTGTGGGTGCCAGGCCTCTCTAATCCCTGGATTCAGCAAGTGTTAAAAGCTAATCAATCCAAGCTAGCTTTCTGTGAGTTGATAGCCTGGGTGATGAGCCATTAAGAGGGATTAAGGGACTCTGTGGGAGATGGCAAATGGGCCTCTCCCTCCACTCACAGATAGTGAGAAGGACAAAAGCTAGAGTTGAGAGTGAGCAGTGATGTGTCCGAGAAGCAAAATAGCAAGCAGAGTGACCGAGAGCCATGATGGATCTCTGCTTGAATCCACTGCTGCAGCTATGAAAGAAACAATGCCCATTCAGGGTGTTAATAGTGTGAACCCCTGCATAGCAGGCTCAGGTTGTATATATGTGTAAATAAACCATATATCCTAAAGACTCAGCTGTGCCTCATTCCCGAAAGGAAACATGAACCCTGGGTAAGTGCCTGGAACCCCTGGAATCTCACACCACTTGGAAGTTAGGGGTGTGTGCAACTGTATCTATATTGGGCTAATGAAAATTAGTAAAGAAACATATAAGCTATTGAGTTTCACAGAGCTGTTCATCCAACACAAGGAGTTACCTAGCTTGTGAAATTTTGTGAAATTCAAGTCGTATTTCTATATCAACCTGCATTGGCTCAATTAAATATATACTTTTCCTTAGCTTGTGTTTCACATACTTTGGGATCATCATGGCAATGTCCATGTTTCATTCCAATTTTTTATGGCAGTGAGGGTGTCTTCTAAGGAAGGATAAGAAGTACTTTGTTTTTGCTACTGCATATCAACCAGACCAACAAACATAAACCCCCAATTCAGATTCATCCTGACTCAAGCACGTACACAGCTGTGACTCGCTGACTTCTGGCTATCAAGTGACAAGTAACAGAAATCCCAGAACTCAGGATCCCTGGCATGGAATGAGCTAGAATAACAGGACATTTTTCCATTCTAAAAGTGAGCCTCCATTTGCTTAGGTTCTCTCATGCAGCCCCACAACTAAAATTATAAACACAATTTAAAACATTAGATTTTAAAAGCCAATTAAATCATCCAACACAATGCAACCATTAAAATTACAGACCAACAATCTTATTCAGTTAAAAGCTGCAAAAAACAATTGTGTGTTTTAAGGCCTGCTTATATACAAACAGACTGAGTATAAGACAAACATCCTGGGGGAGTAAGTTCCACAGTGATGGGGCCACCAGTAAAAAGGCCCCGTTTCCCCCCCCCCCCCACTTCCAACCTGATGAATCTTAAAGGCAGACCTACAAACAGGACTTCTATGGCCAATATCAGGGTTGGGCAGGTTCATGTAAAATATAGGTAGCCCTTCAGATATCCTGGTCCCAAACCATTTAGGTTTTAAAAAGTAACCGCCAACACTATATCTGGGCCTGAAAACTCACTGGTAATGAAAGTGGGAAGTGTAGAATTGGTGTTATGTGCTCTAGTCATCTGGCCCCCCAAAGCAACTGGGGAATGCATTCTGTACCAGCTGAAACTTTTGGACAGTGTTTGAGGACAGCCCCACATACAGCATGTTAAAGTAGCATAATTGGGATGCAATCAGGGCATGGACTACTGTGGCCAGCTCCACTCTCTCCAGATAGAGTAACATCTTATGTATCAGTTATTTATGGGAACAGATTCCATCAGCAACTTCCTAGAAAACAGCAAGTCCAGGAGAACCCCTCAGACTGTGTGCCTGGTCCTTCAGGTAGAGTGCAACCTCATCAAACTCTGGGCACACACTATGGTCCAGGGCACCATGTTTCCTACCTGCAGTGCCTCTGTCTTATCCAGATTAAGCTTCAGCTTGTTTGCCCTCATCCATCCTAAAACCCCTAAAACTAGGTGGTGGAAACGATGAACAGAGTTGTACATCATCCACAAACTGATGACGCTTTAGCCCAGACTGTCAAACTATTTCTCCCAGCAGCTTCATGTACATGTTAACAATAAGGCAAGACAGGAGAGACAGAAGTGGTCATGGAGAGGAAAGAACTTCCCCAGTACCATCTTCTGGGTCTGTCCTGTTGTGTTCTTGTATCCCCCATTCATAGTTAAGACATCCCCCAGGCACAAACACGGCTTGCTACACCACATGCACACACCATGGCCTACCTGTAGGCAAATTTATCCTCTTCCGTTTCTGGCTTGCCTCGCCTCCATTTTCAGCAGGGCTGCTATTGAATGGCAGAGGTTTGCTATTGCCAGGGTCAAAGGGCAGGTGGTTTAGTCCTGAGAGAGACGGAAAAGGGAAGAATTTGTTAAGAATAGCATTTGATCCCTTCTAATTTTCAAAAAAATCCTCAATACTCAAGTGCAAGCCAAATGTTTTCACAACCCAGCCTCAGAGAGAAAAAAGCCTGAAGTTATACAAGAAAACACTGCACTATTCACCTACTGATGCACTGCTAGGAAAAGAGGGCGGCAATTGGCAGCCCACGGAACAAACACTGTCCAAAGGGGATGCAGGCCCTCCCCACACAGCTGCCAACCCTCTTCTCACTGCTTAGGGGAAGCAGACAATTTGCATACTTCTTTATGGATCTAAATTAGTCCCATAACTATAAAAGCTATTCTACCTACTTTTTAGTCAAGTACCATATTTTTCGCCCCATAGGGCGCACTGGCCCATAGGATGCACCTAGTTTTGGAGGGGGGAAATAAAGGGGGGGAAATTTATTTTCCCCCCAGGCGTGGGGCTGGGGCGGGGGAAGCCCGAGCTTCCCCCGACCCCAGAACAGGCAGCTCTCCGCAAGCCTTGGGAAACCGGTGCGACTTCCCGCCGGGCTCCCACGCCTTGCAGATATCTGCCTGAAGCCCAAACCAGGTCGGGGAACAGCGGGATGGTGGCGCTGCACCTCCCCGCTTTCCCCCGAGCTTGTGGGGCTGGTGGCAGGGAGAAGCACGCTTCTCCCCACCGCCAGCCTCCAAACCAGGTCAGGGGACCGAAGCCTCAGGCAGCGCACCCCAGGCTTTGAGATGCAGGCTGCTCCGCAGGCTCCCAAGGCTTGCGGAGAGCTTCCTGAAGCCTGGAGAGTGAGAGGGGTCGGTGCGCAAATACGGGCGAAAAATACGGTATTTCTATATACCATTGAGGGCAAGAGCTGCAGGTATTTTTATAATTTGAAAGGCATTTGATAAAAGGATGACTATGTATACAGTACTTAGATTATTCTCTGCTGTACAGGGACTAGTAGTTAAAAAAATAATAAATTTTAAACAAACAAACAAACAAACAAACAACAAACAGGAACTTAATAACTGATGGCCACTGATGCTGCTGGTGCTGAATACCTTCCATAGAAATCTGAAGTCCAGCTTTGTGCTGTGGTACTAGGAAATGGGGGGGGGGGATGAGAGAGACACAAGCTTCAGAAATTTGTTTGTAATTAACCTTGGCACTTAGCACAATTGGTTATGACAACAAATACAGGATACAAGTGGTAAGACTGTCTAGCATTGCAATACCTCAAAAGCAAGAGGAAAGCTTAACTGAACAGAATATCTTGACTAAGTTCTCACCAATGTGGCTTATCACATAAGAAGAACCTGGAGAAGTGAAAGGGTCCTTTTGTAGCAAAGAGGGAATGAGCTGTTGTGAAGGAATTATCCTGGCATGTTGCGTATCAAGCAGACTTGCCTCTTGAGGACAGAACTTTATTTGATGATGCTAGGTGTTAAACCTTATGCTAATCCCAAAGCCCTGGTGAGAGTAGCGGCAACAAGTCTCAGCCATCACTGGGATGGTTGGAGAGTCTTGGGGCACTTCAGAACGATAAACATTTACTGCTAGAGCATTCCCTACATAGTCAGGTTTACATTTCCTGCACCTGGAACCAAGGCTGCAATAGTGACAGTCTTCTCTCTTGCCAGAATGCTGGGACAGACATGTCGGAAAACTCTGAACGGAGATGTTTAAAGTAAATGTATAGACTTCAGTTCTGCATACACCAGGGCCACACAATTTGCAACCTACCAAACACAGACTCATTGCACACAGACATGCTGTTACAACACCTCTCAATTTTATTTTATTTCATTTATTTCATTTACTGTACTGGCCTGAATATAAGCCTGACTTTCCCCCCAAATTCCGACCGTTAAAAGTTAAAGCGCGGCTTAAATTCGCGACCTTACAAAAACTGGCTTTTATGATATCACTGCTGAAACAGACATATCTAAGCCAAAGCAATCTTCAAGAGCTTGAGAATACTTCCCAGCCTAGCTCCATGAGGAGCAAGAGGAGCTAAACAAAGATCCTCTTTTTCAGCCACCTTTCTAGAGATGTTTGAGAAAATTATTATTTCTTTGCTATGAACTAACTTGATCTGTACTTCTCAAAGCTGCAAATCAGAATATAACTATCCTTTGGGATTTGCACATATTTACATTTTGCAAGGTATTTTTAAAGCAAAAACTTTATCAAAACATGTTTTAAATTGCATTGTTTTGAGATACATATATTCAGAAATGTGATCCTCCCTCCCCCAGCACTGCTTTTAAATGGGGCAGACCAGACATATGAATGAACACATACAAAAGTGACAGGGAACCAAAACAGTCAAATCTGCCCAATCCTATAGCTCCCTTACAGAGATGGTCCCAATGTGGTCCTTTTGTAAATTAATTATTTATATAGCACCATCTACCTGCCTGCCACTTTGCAGAGGATAATGACAGGCCCAGCGGAGTTTACGATCTATAACTTAACACGGGAAATAAAGTGAGGAAGGTGGGGTTAAAGAGGGGATAAGTGGACTACGCAGAATTAGACAAGCTAACAGGAAGGATCCAAGACCGGCGGGGCCAGAGGTTTACCGAGGACTGGACTAAATTTACTGAGTATTTGAAAAGTATTTGTGATGATCAGATTACGTTTGTAGAACTACAAGAAGTTCTGTGAGGAGAAATTTAAGAAATATTGAAAAAATGGAAAGGGAGAAATGATTTGTTAGAAAAGGTAAAGGCAATATTAAGTTAAGAATTGCAGGAGAAATAATCAAGACGGAAGGCTATCAGAGATGCTGAAGGAAGTCCAAACAAGGACATATGTATAATAATTTGTGTGGTATGTCTTAAAAAATTTTGTATGCTAAAAATTAATTAAAAATATTATAAAAAAGAGGGGATAAGTGTGTGCTCATCTGAGTTATACACACAAAAGTTTAATTTCAGTTGGGGTAGGGATTAAAGAGTTAATTAAGCATCCAAAAACAGCAATAGGAAATCCCTTGCAAGTTGATGTGGTGACAGAGAATCTTTGTGCTGCTATTACAACATCCACAAACCAAAACCAAACATTGAAGCATGTGCGGTGACTGTCGTAGGACAAAATAGCAAGTGAGATGAAAGAATGGCCAGATTCAGTACAGTTCGCCTTAATCACCATAACCTGATTTTGGGAACTCTGACATGGCTCATAAGGATACATTTGTAGTTGGAGGAGTTCACAGCGAAGCCGAAGCCTTGGGAACCATCTGTTCCAAGTTATTTAGTAGTCCACACTTTCCAAGCAGCAAATGAAAAGAATGCAAAGCGCCTGGAATATGACTGAAGGACTTGGAACCCCTAATCCAAGACACAAGTGCATTCTTGAAACACTGCAGCTAATTTTAAAGGAATTGTGAAAGCACCAGCAATTGTGAATACCATCCGCAAGCTGCTTGGTTACAATGTTGTTATTGCTATGTGCCCAAGGGTGTGGTCTGCAGAAATGCACAAAGAAAATAGCACCAAGGGGGCTTATGCAGCTGATCAGTACAAAGTTTACCCTATACCAGGGGTCTGCAACCTTTAAGACAAAAAGAGCCACTTGGACCCGTTTCCGAAGGAAAAAAAACTGGGAGCCTCAAAACCATTGCGACATTTAAAACAAATATATCTCCGGAGCCGCAATCTGACAGCGGGCGGGAAGGTGATGTCGGGACGGTGCGTGACTAACGCACGCACCGCCCCCATGCGACGTCACAGCCAGTACAGCGCCCGCCACAGTGGGGAGTGTCGGGGCGCACAATGCGCCTCCTCCCCTCGCTAGTATCCGCCCCGGAGCCGGGGCAAAGGTGTAAAAGAGCCACATGCGGCTCCGGAGCCGTGGGTTGCAGACCCCTGCCCTATACAGTGGTACCTCGGGTTACATACGCTTCAGGTTACATACGCTTCAGGTTACAGACTCCGCTAACCCAGAAATAGTACCTCGGGTTAAGAACTTTGCTTCAGGAAGAGAACAGAAACCGTGCGGTGGTGGCGCAGCAGCAGCGGAAGGCCCCATTAGCTAAAGTGGTGCTTCAGGTTAAGAACAGTTTCAGGTTAAGAACGGACCTCCGGAACGAATTAAGTATGTAACCAGAGGTACCACTGTACATAGATACACCACAAACTTACATTGATTTTATACCACCTCAAGTGTCCTGGTTTTTCTCAAAAGAATTCCTGGAACTAGTTTATGAGGGTGTTAAGTACTCTCTCTTAGAGATCTCGAACACCTAAGGAAGTACAACTCCCAGCATTCCTTAGTTACATAGAATGCCTATTAAACCACTTTAATTCTATGGTATAAAGATGTACATAGTCTGCAAAACAGTCTTGCAAGTTTCAATTCAAAACAGGGCTGCATCACTTATTCCCCTGGATGTTTACTTGGTATTAAGTCTCACTGAGTTTAATGGGGCTTGTTCCTCTAAGTGTTAAGGCTACAGTTTCCATTCCACCTTGTTTTCATCACAATCAATGCAGTTTCCATTCTGCCGCAGTTCAGTTTCCACAAAATACTGCGCTGTTTGACTCACGGTCTGCTATTTCACGTAACTTACATAATCAATGACAAAATTATTTCCACACCAATCAATTCAATATAAAAGAAATGTATAAACAATGTTAAAAAATACTATGTATTGGTTGAAACAAGCAATTTGCAGGACAATAAAGATTGTACTTCTTTGTTTTCAACAATTTAAAGCCAAGTTGTAACAAATATAACCAGCAAAGACAACAGAAACAAAGTTCTCTTTTTTTCAGCTTTGACAGCTAGTTTGACAGCTGTCAAAATCTTCTATGTCTCCTCAACAGGCTCTCTCACGGATCACTCCCGGGTCCCGGGGGTTGCCACTTCAGCTCTCAAAATCAACTCTTATCCTCCAGCAAAGTTACTTATACTGCCAAATCGTGAAATTAATAACTTTTATCAATAAAGAAAAATATGTTCTCTCGACCTTAGTTATCTAGTCCTTGCTTTAAATTATCTACAGGACGGGGAGACAGACTTCCTTTTTGCGCCTTCCCCGATCGTGCCTAATTCAAAAAAAGAAAAAAAAAAAGAAAAGAATTTCCCTTTGTAAATCCAATTTCCGTATTACTCACGGGCTGTTACTTTTAGAGTCCAATTGTTCAAAGGAAGAAGTCAGCGCTCTCCGGCCATGGCATGCGGCTTCGCTCCGTAGGAGAAGCAGTCGACTCTCAGCACCGTGCCGCTCCCCGTCCCCCGTTCCGAAGCCTTTTAAAAAGGCTCCTTCGCGGGTCGGGGGGGCGCAAATGGTGCCCGCCGAGTCACCAGGTCCACAAGCTTCAGCGCCTGTGGTTTCTGAGGGTCCCCGCGTCACCGCCGCGGCAGGACCCGTCTCCTACAAAGCCGATTCCCTCCGGAGCTCGGAGGCAATCCGCCATTAGACGATGGCGCTAACCCGGAAGCCTGTTCAGCCACCATTTATTTAAAACATATTGACAAAAAAGTGTGACTGGTTATTTGGAAAGCAAATTAAAATAAAATAAACTGCATCTAAACTGCTCACCAGAGATGAGGGGGTTGCACTGGCAAACCCAAGATCTACCTACTGCAAACACACTCAGCCCAGGAGACACTGGATTTCAATTGTGCTGTTAGGATGGTGACAGCTCAAATTCATAAGAATAACTTGCCAAACCGCTAAATATGGCCCACATCATGAATAGGGCAGGAAATATCTATGCTGCTACTCTAGCCTCCTCACTCCCATTTTTTAAAACAGGAGTCAGCAAACTTTTTCAGCAGGGGGCCAGTCCACTGTCCCTCAGACTTTGTGGGGGGGGGACTATATTTTGGGGGGTGGGGAATGAATGCAAGAGCACCACGAGCCCCGGTGGCTGCTTACCTGTGTCTTGCGAGAGAGGCAGGGGCTGGCGGTGTAGCGGGGCGCGATGAGCGGCGCACGAAAGGGGCTCCGGTGAGGGGTTGCTTAAAATGGCGGCCGCTTGAGCGCTGCTGCTGCTGCTGCTGGCACCAACAAAACCCAGCCCTCTTCCTCCTCTAGACAGGGCAGGGAGAAGCCGGGAGGAGGGAGGAGGAGGAGGCGCCACCGTGTGAGAGAGAGGGAAAGAACGTGCACGCTGGTGATCCACGTGTGGTGATTCCCAGACCATTCGCGGGCCGGATGCAGAAGGCAATTGGGCCTGATCAGTTTGCCTACCCATGTTTTAAAAGCTACAGTTTTTAAAGCTACAGAGCCAAGAATTACACCTCTCCTGTTTATGAAGAATGGACTTTCATAGAAACTGAAACAGACTACTTTAAAGCAAAGTCTGCAAAAACAATTGCCAACTTCATAGTTGCAAATTCAGCTAAATCTAAAGATTAAATCTAAAGGCTTACAACAGTAATACAATTACACACTGTGCCACCCGTAGTCCCACATATTTCAAAGGAAAAATATGGGGGGGAAACAAAGGAAACAAAATGCATACATTGCCTAAAAACATTTAAAAACATTATTCCATATTTACCTAGTTATAGATAACCTGTTTAGGGAAGCTAAAACAGACCCCAAAAATGCAGTTGGCCACATTTGATTTAGAAATTAATTAGAACAGCAGCATATGATCTTTTTCGGACCAGGTGAAAGGAAAAATAAATAGATACCTTGTGAGTTTCATGGAATTCTCCATCAAGCAGGGTGTAAAATAAAAAAGGGGGAGGGAGATTAATGAAATTGGAGATTATAACTTGTGTATCTACTAAAAGCAAAGTCAACAGAGACCGAAGTGGAAAGCAGTATGTACAACCACACTGTATTACTTTCCACTCTGGCTTCTATTTGAGACATTTTGTTTCACACATAGAAAAAGTGACAGCATTAGGTGGTAAAAGGTAGACTTCCTCCTTTTCTATAATTGCTTGACAATAAATTTAGTATACTCAAAGAATACAAAGGTGCCCTGATCAGCAATAGAATCAGTTTCAAATATCTGTTGTTCTTTAACATTTTCAGTGGGAAGCAATTGTTGTTTCTCCATCCCAGTATACTTTGATGCAATTTAATATATTTTGCTCTTGGCACAATCTTAAGAGCTTCCTTAATTAGTACAGTATCTTAAGGGCCCAACTATTTGTGACCTCAGCTACATAGTTCTGCCCTTAAATGCTGGTGCACACACCCCCAACTGTGAACACCAAAGACCCGAACCATACTGGAACTCTAGTGTAATGTAGCCTTTAAGCCTAGTATAGTTGTAGGTTTTAACCCAAGTCCCCCATTGCAAATCGGATCTGAATTGGGGGTGGGGGGTTCCGCAACTCCAATTTATGTGGGTGATGGGGTGGAACTGCACTCAAAGGCAAACTCTGCAATTGCAGTCATGTAGAATTTGGCTCTCACCATGCCTTCTATCAGCAACATTTTTCTCTTTTTTTAAAAAAACAACAACCACATCTTGCCTGATCAAGAGCTGTGAAACCTGACGGATAGCTTACTTTCTGCGACTTTCAAGTGGTCTAAATAAACGTATTATGCTACTGCTTCTATCTGCACCTCCTACTGCTACTAATGACCTGCTTCACTGACCTCTACCACTGTACGATGAAGATGACTACTGTATTGTAAAGGCTAATAGCTAAGTCAACTTTGTCTTCCAAAACGTTCATGTAGCAGGGAGACACCTTGACCTATAAAATCTAAAAACACCGCAGGAATGCTGTGCCACAGTCAGATGCATGCTGAACATACAGAAGAGACTGACTATGATAACTACACAATGAAACTCATAAAGCATGCTTTGGAAGTATAAGAAGCTGCAAAAAGGGGGGGAAGAATGAAGTCAGCACACCAGCTTTCATACTTTTGGCCAAGATAAGCTAATTTTAATCTTTAATATTCACCAGTCACAAAGTGCTTACCTATCAACAGTGGCAGCAATCTGCATAAAGAACAGAGCTTGATTTCCGGTTTGAGGTAATCTCAATTACGTTTTGGATATAAATGTTATTAATTTTTCCCATTACACTGAAACTTGAGATTCAGAGATGACCTATTTTCCTACAGTCCCCTTGCACCTAGGAGTGGCTTGCTTCTGTTTCAAGCCACAGCTAGACATCAAGAAGCTGCTGCCCATCTGGTTAAATACTGTCTGTTTCAACATTTATTATAAAAAACATATTCAAAGACATTATTCCAAATCCTCCCATAACACATTTCAAGCTGCACAGAAACAGATTTAGAAAATGAAAGTCTAGGGAAAAAATTGAGATAAAAAAATTAAAATCCTGAAAGCTCTTCTGAACCTCCCCTCCCAAACAGAGAGCCTTTGATGACTCCAAGGCAGATTGGGAAGGCTAAAAGCCGGGGAAACCGCATTAAAAGGCTATCAAGAGCACCAGTTTGACCAGATACACTGTGGATTTAACTCCAGCTATTCCATATTTAAACTGTGCTCTTGCTGAATCCATATAATCCAAGAGATCCGGGAGCTCAGATTCAGTGTTATACTTGGCTGCAGGCACTCTGGCTAGAGCACCCGTCTCACTTGACTGTTGGTGTCTGTAGACTTTACTCTCCACCTCCCCATCGCAAACTAAGACTGCTCATGGCAAACATATTGGAGTCGAAAACGTCCCGAGGTGAATCTCATTACACCAGAATGCAAACCGTACCTGTGAAATGCACAAAAAACATGATGGTGCTTCGCAAAGAGTGCTCTTCAGTCTCAGCGTGTTTTATCTTGCTACCCACACTACCGCACCATCATATAAACACAAACTAGTAACACAGTTCAGCCTGTGTGTGACGCATGTGCTGTGCTGGACCCTGCAAACAAACCAAGTGCCAGCAGCCAGCGTAACAAGAGGAGAGCTTAACGTCAATAAAGCTACACAGCAGGCAATTGGAAAGGCTGGGATGCTAAAGAGGAAAGGCATGGAACTCTTTTTTTTAAAATGAATGGCTGCCCACTGCTGCATCTGTCCCCATCAATTACCAATCAGTGACTCTGTAAGAGACTAAATCCTGAACATTATGGGGAGATGGCCAGAGAGCAGGTGGTGAAGTAATTAACAGCATGCTCATCTGTGAATCTGCAAAGGATTTCAGTACTAGGATCACTGAGAAGCGGCATGCAATTGGCAAGCCCCAATCTTGCTGGCTGGCTGCCCTGTGAGTGGTTATCTTTGCCATAACTTAACCCTCAAGAGAAACTAGTACTTCTTCTTAAGAATTCACACTAAAAAACAACCTTTTTAACTTCCCAACATGCTTATTTTGTAACCATTACTTTGAAACAGAAAAGAGGTGAGGGGGAACCAAGATCAGCAGATATTCATACAGCCTTGCATTTTAAAAACTCACCTAGTAGCCCTAGGTAATCAGGAGTTCCATGAAGGTGAGCGAATAGGATGGCAGAGGAAGGAAGTGTTACTCTGCCCCTTCTCCCACAATGCTGTTGATAGAAGGCACATTTTTTTACTATCCTACAAAGAAGCTAGTAGCCTGCATTTCTACCTGGCTGTGGAGGAGGAGGAGCCTTCCCTTCATTTTCAACCAGCATAGAGACACAGGCTACTATTCTCTTAGGTAAAGGTAAAGCGACCCCTGAACATTAAGTCCAGTAGCGGATGACTCTGGGGTTGCGGCGCTCATCTTGCTTTTTTGGCCAAGGGAGCCGGCGTACAGCCTCCGGGTCATGTGGCCAGCATGACTAAGCTGCTTCTGGTGAGCCAGAGCAGCATACGGAAATGACGTTTACCCTCCCGCCGGAGCAGTACCTATTTATCTACTTGCACTTTGATGTGCCTTGGAACTGCTAGGTTGGCAGGAGCTGGGACCGACCAACGGGAGCTCACCCCGTCACAGGGATTCGAACACCGACCTGCGTCCCAGTACTATTTTCTTAGCCGGCTGTTAATTTTTGTAGGCTTATTTACAAGGCTAAACATCAATACATTATGGCGAATATTCCAGAGAATAAATATTGCTGCAAAGCTACACTCTGGGTGGTAGGAAATTCTGTCTTTCAGAAGTAGTACAACCCCATCCAAAGCAGGCAATTGTCCAATTATCTGGACTCAGGAACCGTACATCCACAGGACCTCTGTCTTTGCCAGGATTCAGGCACAGCTGGTTAGCCCTCATTCAGCTTGCCACCAATATAGAGCTTTCACAGCCTCTCCTGATTCATATATTATAGAGAAATAGAGCAGGGCATATTCAGCATACTGATGACACCTTGGCCCAAATCTCCTAATAATGCCAATAACTTAATGCAGATGTTAAACAACTTTGGAGACCCTGCAGTACACCAATATATACCCCACTGGGTACATCCTGCCCTGTGTATCAGACAGATGACCACTAAAGACTGCCCTACAGTTACCAAGGAGAACTGAATCTAAAGGCAGTCTCAGCATGAGTGCTGAAATCACCCAGAACTAACATTCTGGGATCCCACAACACCACACCCAAGATGACTCCTGCCAGTTTGGTCAGAGAAAGCAACTGGGCAGTAGGGTGCATTTTGTAGTACAGTGGTACCTCTGGTTACGTACTTAATTCGTTCCGGAGGTCCGTTCTTAACCTGAAACTGCTCTTAACCTGAATCACCACTTTAGCTAATGGGGCCTCCTGCCGCTGCCGCGCCGCTGCCGCGCAATTTCTCTTCTCATCTTGAAGCAAAGTTCTTAACCCAAGGTACTATTTCTGGGTTAGCGGAGTCTGTAACTTGAAGCGTATGTAACCCTGAAGCGTATGTAACTCGAGGTACCACTGTAGTAGAAACCCTAGTTTACTGTCTTCTTGGCCTGACACAAAGTGCACACACCCTCACACCCTAAGCCAGAGTGGTTTCCTGGAAATGGAAGTCATGTGGACCACAGCAATTCCCCCCATGCCTGCAGCTTGTGCTTATGCTGCACCAAGTATCCAGGTGGGCACAGCTGTGCCAATTCAACAACTCCCAGCTTGCCCGCCCAGGTCTCAGTAATACAAACCAGATCAGCACCCTCATCCACAATCAAATCATAGACTGTCTGATTATTCCGTTTCAGATCATCCTAAAAATGTTTTATTGATAAGTGGCACAGGTATATATAAATCTGGGGGAAACCATTATAGTCACAGAAAAGAATGTCTGTTGTTCCATAGGATGATCTGCAATACCTCATAAGAACATAAGAAGAACCTGCTGGATCAGGCCAATGGTCCATCTAGTCTGGCATCCTGGGCTTAACAGTTGCCTGTGGGAAACCAGCAAGCAGTTTCAGAAGTATTGCTGCCTCCAACTGTGGAAGCTATCAAATGATATTTCTTTCATCTTCCAATGAAAGAAACCAGTGTGGACAAGGCAACAAGGCAGTTACTATGGTATCAAATTTCTACATGAGAAGCAATTTAATGTAGAGGCTCACGTGTGATAAACATTCACTTCGGCTTTTGGCTACACACAACCTTGGTATGCATGTTAAGTGTCCATAGATTAATATGGGGTTGGGGGTGAGTAACCAAGTAATCACCTATTGGAAAATAAGCACCTCTTTTTCTGATTTAAAAAATAAACAAGCACACTGAACGTTACACAAAAGATTTTGCCCACTTTTTATGCTGGGCAGAATACTGAATATGTGGTTTATACAGAGTACCCCAAAATATAACATATATATCTAATTAACATATTGTTGCATGCCATCCCAATCTCTGAGCAGTGCAAGATTCCAGGGGTTCCAAGAACTTACCCATGTTTTGGTTTCCTTTCCTTTTAATTTGCACACCGCCTTTCTATATTACTATACACATGGTGGTTTACAAGCTGAAGAAACAACAAAATAGACAGCAAAGATCACCCACCTAGTAACAATCCGACATGTTCAGAGGGACAGCAGAGACTAGTGTATTTATGATATACGGTTTATTTGCACATACAGGAAGCTCGCATCTTATGCAAGGGTTAGATGTCAAGGGTCCACTTGTGAACACAAAATTGCCAGGAACCCCTGAAACTGCTTCTCACGCAAGTTGGAGGGCTGCTTACTGGGCTCTGAGAAGTTTGTTGGAACTCCTTCAATCTTCTGAGAGGCCAGTAATCCAGATGCCTCAGTTACTGGGCTTTGTGTAGGAGGTGCAAATGAAGCTGCCAGAGCCCTCATGCTGTTTCCCCAAAGCCGAGTAAGCAAGGTGTCAAGCTTTGGGTATGTGGCACTAAGGCTCTGGCAATATCCCAGAACCCTCAAGCTGCCTTCTCAAAGCAGGATAACAGAGGCGCCAGGCTTTGGGAAGGAGCCATGGGGGTTGTAAGATGGTCCTAGAGCCCTTGTGCCTTCTTCCCAAAGCCCAGGAAGCAAGGAATACCTGCTGGGTGCATAGGTAGAGTGGGGGGAAATAGACAGCAGGGAATAGTGGATTTTCCCTGTTCTCCATTTATATTTTCTCCCTACCCCCATCAAAGATGCAACACACAAGTTAAAGCAGTGTGGGATGAGAATTACCTATATACACGACCTGAGCCTAAGATGGAGGGGCTCACAGCATTAACACCCCAATCTTACTTCTCCCATAGTCACAACCTTGGATTCAAACAGAAATCAAGCTTCTGCCTGCATCGAGTGCAGCTCTCAGCTCACACAACTCTGTGGTTTGGGGCTTTCTGACTACTAGCCAGGTATTTCCTTTGTTATACTAAGGACAGTATTAACGGCCATTAATTCACCAATAAGCTTGCCTGGTTAGTTGAGCAACGGGATCCTCCATTAGATTTTAACCCCTGCTGGATCCAGGACCCCAGGAATTAGAATGGACTCAGGGATCATGAAGACTAACCCCCAAACTTACAACAGCATTATACATTTTGTTTGTTTCTTAATATTGCAAAAAAAATTACTTACACAATACAAATACAATTCTGGGCAAATCATTGGGAATTATTATAAACATTTATATACAGCTTATTCAAGAAGCTCAAGGTAGCAAAAATGGCTCTATAAGAAAGTCTTTTCTGTGTCGGTTCCTTGCCTTTTGATTGCCCTCCAAAGACAGATGACCTGGAAATCTCATTACTGTACTGTTCTATTATTTGAGGGCAGGCAAAAATAATTATGTTCACAAAACTGCTAATGCCAGCATTACAGGCAAAAACCCATTTCTATTTCTATATTCACAGAGCTGCTGAGGCTAGCATTTTCTACTTAGAGCAGTTTGATTTCACCCTCTGCCTGAATAAGCAGTTGCTGCTTTAGCTGTTGCTTTAAATCACTGTATTGTTATTACGATTCGCTTAAATAATAAATTCTAATTATTATAAATATTTATTATTATCATTACATTTCACTTTTTTGTTTCTCACTTCTCTACTAGCCACCCTGAGAAAAATACTATTTATGTTGAAGGTGCAGGATGCGAATGGCAGGTCACAGCCAACCTCAGCCCTACACAGAAAAGACCCATGGAGATGAATAGGCATGGGCTAACTTAGTTCCGTTAGTCTATTCAGAGGCGGGCTTAACTGGATCGATCCAACCAACCAAATCATTCCTCCTCACAACAACCCTGTGAGGTAGGCTAGGCTAAGAAAGCACGGTTGGCTCTTCACGAGTGGGTCCGAGGATCTGAGATGAGGTTCTAGATTCAGAACTCTAACCACTACACCACCGCACCCCGGTGATTAAAAAGGAAAATATCGGGTCCAAACAGGGGGCAGCGATTGAGAGGAGCAGATCGTGGCTGATGCACCTGGTAAATAGGGCCAATGGGCAAAAACCGGGGAGCTGCCCTCTTTGAGAGCGCAGGCCGCTG